CCTAACATCTGAAAGTCTTACTGTGTCAAGTTTTCATACTCCTACATCTATAGCAGTAATAAAGAATGTCACGATATATTTGCCTTCTTTACTTGATGCCATGTTGTAAGCTAATATTGTCTTACCTTCATCCTATATTCACCCAGTGAATGTGTTCTGATGATGCAGTGCTTGTACTTTCATATAAGGATTTAAGAATGCTGTTTAATCATTTTTTAAAAATAGCTTTAGTTAAACAGGTGTATTTAGATTAGGCCTTTCCTATTATTCTTATTCTGGACAAAATGATTTTTGTTTTCTCTGATTTGCCATCAGGCTCTATATTTATGGTTAACAAAGGCCTCTGCAAATGGCTCTGATAGTCTTTATTGGAATGCCCAGTAGTGCACCTGTGTTCCTTTATTGAGTTAAGTATTTTCTTCCCAGCTCCTTTACTTTTAATATGAGCTTAATAAATGTTTAAGAATTGCCTGTTTTGTGTACACATTAAGCTAAGTCCATGGCAACAGAACCCCAAATGCAAATTGCTCTTGTTCCTACACGAGAACTGTAGCAAATAACCAATCCCTCGTCCTACCCGGCCCACAATTTCAAAACCCCAATTTTAGAACACTAGCTTGTATTCTGCTAGCCTGAGTTTATTGACCCAGGCTCAGAAGCTTGGTCCCATAGGCTCAAAAACTACATGAAGACATACGATGGGAGACCTCAAGTTCCAGGTCCCTCTCTGCCAGATGAAGAGATTTGAACAAGGATTGTTTCTCTTTCTGGTGAGTAACCTACCCACTGGACTTAACAACATTCTGATGTGGAAGAGTCCCTCAGTCTCTCCTGTTGGAGCTGTTCCAGTTTAATTAAACTGAATAAATAAAAATTAATTGGGCCAGAAAACTGTTATAATGACTCTATAGCATAGTGGTAAAGGAATTCCTGAGAGAGGTAGTAGAGCCCTGTTCAAATCCCTTCTTCTCACCAGATAAAGGAGAGACTTCCACATAGTGGGTGAATTAATCACTAGGTAAAGGACGAGGTTATAATGGAGGTCCTTCTTGCACTCTCCCTCTTGCAAGTTCACACTCCATTTTGTATGAACTCGCATGTATCGGTCCCAATCTAGTCGGAGTGCAGTGCTTAGATGCAGTCTAACAGAGGGGGCCTAACATAAGACTCAGACGGTTGAATGCCTATCTATCAACTGTTCTGTAAATGGCTTTGGGGCTTAGGAAAGAGACAGACACTTAGATGAACCTGGGAAAACTTTTACTGTAAAAACGTAGGGTTAAGTAACAGCCAAGCTAGATCTCTGTAGATCACAATAGTGCCGTGGTCACCAACCAGTAGATCGCGATCTACCGGTAGATCTCGGAGGCTCTAAGAGTAGCTCTTGAGCCCTCTCTGAACTGCGCACCTGCACACAGTACATTTACATTAGATTTCCTCATTTGAGGAGCAGCTACTCACCGAGCAACAGCACAGGTGAGTAGCTGCGAGGAATGGTGGGAATATTTTTTTAAAGTAGCAGTATAAGGATTGGGGATAGCAAGTGATGGAGAGGAGGAGAATAGAAAGGGCGGGGCTTGAAGGAAGGGGCGGGGCGGTAGATCTTGGCTTGGTCTGTCATTTAAAAAGTGATCTTGGGTGTAAAAAGGTTGGAGACCACTGCAATAGTGCCTATAAACAGGAATTAGGCACATAAGTACCTTTGTAGATCTCATCTTCAGTTACTTCACTTTCTCTGTTTCTTCTCCACTATGAATTAAACCAGATTCCTTTCCATAACTTTTCATAGAATCATAGAATACTAGAACTGGAAGTGACCTTAAGAAATCATCAAGTCCCGTCCCCAGTCAGTTCCTTTTTTTTTTTTGCTCAACAGGTTTTGCTGCTATTTTGTGGGGGGGGGGGGAAAGGGGGAAAGGGTTTTTCAAAAATCAAAAAGGGGGCGTGAAGTTTGGGAACCACGGATCTAGATCATTGGTGGGCAACCTGCAGCCCAAAACCATCATGTGGCTTATTGGGATTCTAAGTGTGGCCTACATGACATTTTGTTTACCATTGCCCCCACGCAGGGCTGCCAGATTTGTCTGGTTTCAAAATGCACATTTTTCTCCTACCAGTATTACTAAAGTGGCATGTAAAGCAAGTACACATGAAGTCAGGTGCATGCTGATTGTACATAACATTGACTGTGAGAGCCATACACTTGCTCTGCATCCAATCAAAGAGCTGCTCTGGTTCAATTGGCAGACCCTGCAAATCCTAGGTATGTAAGCACAAGTAGCAAAACTACCCATCCTGGAAGACCATCTTAGTTATGACAGTCTTGTGGTCTATTGAGATGAAGGACAACCACTCATGTGGCCCACTCACTAGTCTAAAATGCCCGTCTAAATCATACCTGATATATGTTTGCCTAACCTGCTGTTAGATATCTCCAATGATGGAGATTCCACAACCTCCCTAAGCAATTTATTCCGGAGTTTAACCACCCTGACAGTTAGGAACTTTTTCCTACTGTACAATCTAAAGCTGTGTCTAGAGTGGAAATTAGGTCCAGGCTGTTTCCTGCAGCTCCCCTTGGCTGGAAACAGCAAACTAAAGCCAATAGGAGCTAGAAGGCAGCATGGCTATGGTGCTTTTAAATAAACAAAGTGGTGCAGGCCCATTAGCAGCTTTTCCAAAGCGAGCCCATGGCCCACTTAGAAGAACACTGTGCCTGGGGGAGGAAGAAGCAGAACCCCTTGGGTCCGGGGCAGAGAGAGGTGAGGAAGGCTGAAAATACAGGTGGAAAAGTAGGGCAGGCCATGCCTTCACTCCTCACCCCCTCCTCCTAGATCCTTTCCCTTGCCTAGTGCAGGCAAAGCTTGCTCCCGGCCACCCTGGTACAAAAGGTTGGGCTGTTTGGACTGTGAAAACATTCTGGCAGCACCTACAGCCCTTGCTCTCCAGGTCCTGCAGCCCCCTTAGCTTGGGGACAAACGGCAGTTGCAGCCATTCTGATTATCAGCCTTGGACCATGAGGAATCACTGTGTACACAACATGACCTGGTCAGCACAACATCCTCACAGTGGAGGCTGTTGTGGCAGTGAACCTTCCAGGGCCCACCCAACATTTATCTGGGGGTCACCAGCATCATTTGTCTTGTGAGGATCCTCTGAGCTTGGAACTCAAGTATTAATGGCAGGTGACAATAGATAAAAAATAACAAGGAAAGATGAAAGGGTCAAAGATAAAAATAAGGAACCTGAAGGGGACGATGTGCAGAGAAACTGGGACAATGCCCACTGCTCCTCCAAGGTGGGAAGGAAGCCAGTGGAGATAGCCCAGAACTCTGCCCAGAGACCAGAGCAAAGACAGGAAAGGAAATAGGTCCCATAGGTGCCAAGAAACACCTCAATCAACATCTTCTCCTTGGTGGATAGACCAGTGTTTCTCAACCTTTTTTCATAAAGTTACCCCTTACAAAAAATAAGTATTCCCTTTAAAAAAAATAAGTACCCCCCAGTACCTACGGGTTTCAGACACACACTTTTTTTTTGTCTACCATTGTAACGTATGTGTTTAAAAACTTAATCGTAGTTTGGCAGCCAATTAAACATTTTGGTGTAAAAAGTACAAAAATAATAAAGTGCTATAAATTTTTTTTAAAAAAATTACGTTTTCTCCAAATGTTAGTTGTGTTGATGTACCTCCCCAGACTTCTCTCGAACACCCCTGAGGACACTGGCACCCCTGGTAGAGAAACACTCTTATAGATGGCCCTGCTGGCCATCGCTCAGAGGATGCTGAGGAGGAGGTCCCTGGCTTTGTGGCCCTGGACAGGATGTACAGTATAGAGACAGAAGCTTCAGGGGTAGCCCAATTTGCACAGAAAAAAAACCAACAAATGGTCTGGCAGCACTTCACAGACTAACAAAACATGTCGCTGGGATCAGGAGCTGTCCTGGGCACAGCCCACTGCAGCCAAACAAGCAGAAGGGAGACCCCGAGTAGCTGCTGCAAACTGGTGCGATTGAAGTGGGCACGCGCCAGGGTCTCCCTCCCACCCACGAAAGGGAGAGACCCCCGGGGAGCAGCTTGTGCGCCCCCGCGCATGCGTAGAGCGGCTGGGGACAGACATGGGGCCGCGCAGGGCAGACTGGCCAGGAGCCGGGCGCCCCATCACAGCAACCAAAGCTGCACATGCGCGGACCCCAGCGGGATCCCCTCGGCCCGGGAAAGCCGCTCCTTCCGGGGTAACCCAGGCGCTCCAGAGGCAGGCCCCGCCCCCACACGCTCGCTCCGCCCGGCCTGTGCAGTGCGCAACTGCTACCCCCGAGAGCCCGAGCACGCGCCAGACGTTTCTGTGGAAGTGGTGAAGACACACACAACATGGCCGCCTCGCTTAACCCTTCCTTCCGGAGAGAAACGTCACTTCCCCTGCCCGCTGACCATGACGGGGATCCGCGTGACCTCTTTATAGCGTGCCGGAGAGGCGCGCGCGCGCCCCATGCGGTTGGCCCCGGGCGGACGGTTGTCGGGGAAACATGGCGGCG